AGACACAGTGATATCGATCTGTCATAAACCTAAACGATGTTTGAGATTTAGAATCACTCACCTATGAATTGTTGAAGTTACGTTGTGTTGGAATCTTTCTAATTTTGAATAATTTAATTAAGGATTACATGCGTTGAAGCTTGCAAATACTGGCGAAAGAGGCGCATTCGATCCCGTGCCACACATCGTTGGCGAAATCATGGACAGATGTAAGCTTCTGTGCTTCGATGAATTTCAGGTACTAGAAAAGCATGTTTCGGGGGGTTTATGAGTTATGTGGTGTGGAGTTGTTTAAAAGGATAGTAGTAATTGCATGTGATAGACTCTGCTTATACCCATTATAGGTAACCGACATCGCCGACGCAATGATTTTGAAGAGATTTTTCTCTTTGCTGTTCGATGAAGGTCTTGTGGTTGTCGCTACTTCCAATCGTCCTCCAACCGACCTGTATAAGAATGGGTTGCAACGACATCAGTTTGTGCCATTCATTGGTATACTACAGGTAACGCCTTTCTTATGTGTTTTGGTTCTATAGAGTCACATTTCTGATAAAAGATGTTTTGTGACATGCGATCTTCATCGTTTTATATTTCTACCTAAAAAAGACACATCTCTTTTTTCTATGTTTCAGGATTATTTTTCGTTATAGTACAGTGAATGTTTCTGACAGAATGAAAGAATATATTATAAGGAGTTGATTCGTAGCAAGAATTGTTGTCACTTTTGGGTTATTATCAAAAATAGGTTTTATAACCGATTTTATGCGCTTTATGGGAGTGAACTAATCGCAGTGTACTAGTTACTTACAAGGGAAGGATGCGGAGTTGCAGTGGCGATCCGCCAGATGTATACCATAGGAATCTCTATCAAAAATGTATCCCAAATCTGTTTTCCTTATCTGCTGAACGACCGACATTGTGGGAGGAGTTGCCACGTTTTTCCTACTCAGTTTGAAAACGCTTGTCTAGACAAACTATAGCAGCACCCTTGAGCGAGTGATGGCGCAGTGGTAAGTCTCTTGCGTTCAAATACTTTGTAACCGGGTTCGAATCCTGCGAGATGGGTTTGT